CAAGAAGAGAGCCGCTCGAGGAATAGAAGAGAAAAAACTTGAAGGGAGAAACACATAAAAGACAAAATGAGGAGGTGAAATGAGGTGAGAGCGAGCACCACGGAGAGAGAGAGAGAGTGAAAATTCACTTGACAGAGCGAGAGAGTACAGAGGCAAAAACAAATGGAGCGAACGGACAGGGAGATGAATGTGTCGGCGAGGTACAGGTTTTGTAGTTTATAACATACCCGCTGGGAAATATTTCATATGAGCAGAGTAGTTTGTGCACAGTGACAGTGGATAAATTTCTTTTTTTGCCCCAGGTGAGGAGAGATAGATAAATACCTTAACACCAACCTATGGCCATATGAGCTGGTTCGAACACTGGCTAATATCTCTGCTTTTTACTGTCCTGCATGAAAAAGCCACGACTTTATGTCGGCCACAGCATCAGTTTGGCTTAATTTAATAAACCAAACTGAAAACAAAAACCTCGGCTTTAGTTTGTGTAGCAGCTGTCTCAGATTCATTTCACTCAATTCATCATAATAAAAAGCACTTGATCAGACAGTAAATGGACTGCATTTGTTGAGAGCTTCTGTACCAAAGTGTTTTACAGTCACTGACCAAGCACCATAGCAATGAATGAATATGGCTATAAGCCTGGAATAAGGTTTATGCTGTATATTTCTCATTCTAAACCAAATGTTCTCCATTTCTGACCAGCACCTCGTAAAATAAAGCGTTGTCTGCTTGTGATGCCTTGTTATAGCTTTAAAAGGACATGTAATCGAGATTTTAAACAACAGTACAACAGCAAATAACTATTTTCTATATAAAGATATAGTGGAGTAATGGCAGTGCTGAGCAGAGAACGAAGTCACACCCCCTTTGAGTGTGTTGTAATCCGAGCTTCTCTGTTCTTTGCTTTGGTATCAGGGACCAGGGTGCGTGCATGTGAGTCACTCACTGTTAAATCATTGCCCCCCCCCCCCCACTCACACGCAACATGGCACAGTGCAGTGCACAACGTTCAGGTAAAAGCACCTTCCAGAATTTCTTCCACTGAAGAAACCACATTTTTCAGCTAAAAGGGCCTCCGTCAAAGAAATAAGATAAGACCAGAGCACAGGCGGACTGTCCATGGGGACTACCAGCTCAAATCCCAGTCAGCCAGTGAACTGTCAAAACATCCATAAAGTTTTTAAACTTTTTACTGGCTCCATCAGTGTCTTTTGTGGGGCCAGTCCCAGCAGATAAGTCCAAGGCTGAATTTCTTTTCCAGTCCAACCAAGGAGCTGGCTGGCTTTGCTGAGATATAGAGCCCTACGAGCTGCTAAAGCGCTCCAACTTGACTGGGAACTGGCCTTTCTTCTCCTCGACATGTAAATAATGGATGGCTATATAATGTTACATGTCTGTTTTGCATTAGTAACGTTAGCTAACTTGCTGTTACCGATGTTATGAATTTGTTCAGCAAATGTTTCTATTGCTAGCTGGCTTATTGCCAGCATTGCCATAGAGCATATCATGGCTAGCATGCTAGCATGGGCTAAACGTTGTGGCTGGATTATTTTTTGTTGGCTCTCATGTACACACAGTAAATTAATTAAGTTGTGCATCTTGTTATGTGTTCAGTGGCTACTTTCAATGGGCTTCGTAACACCTTGCTGCAGACTGAGAACATAAAGAGCAGCCGGCAGTGTGGCCAACAAAGCATTTGTTTTGGTCCAAGATCCATATCATACAGTATAATCGTCACCTCCCAGGCTGAGGGGAACCTTTGCTGCATGTCATCTCACTCTCTTTTTCCATGTCTCCGGTCCCTCTCTACCACAAATAAAGGCTAAAATGCAAAAAAAAATAATCTAAACAGCAAGATAGCTTTTATACACAAGTCAGACATAAATTTTGTGGCATAAAACATGTTCATGAACCTCAGATTTATCTTGTGAACCCTTTGGAGAGCCCTGACCCCCAGGTTGGAAACCACTGTTCTAAACGTCTCCTGCTTCTCTTTCAAGTTAGTATAATTGTTTTCAGTCCATGTTTACCAGGATGTCTTGTGCAATAGAACACGTTTTCCTGAAAGCTTGAATGCATAACCTCCGTAATAGTCTACAGCTCTAGGTCAGACTAAGCATGAATAGATGGAGGGAGCGCTGTAAACAAGTTTTATATGTGATATTTATTTATTCACGTTGGAACTGTTCAATAATCTTATGACACTGAACTGAAATGTTTTGAGACATGTAGTCTAACAAAACAACTGATTGATGAACCACCAACTGCGAAAAAATATTAAAAACAGGCTTTGCAAAATATCATTAACTGACTAAATAAACATTTGCTGTGACTTGATCCCTTACATTTGAATTTTAAAGTTCAGTCAATGACTTCCAAACCTTAACTGTGATTATTCAAGACTACCAATCACAGTTTTGCAAGTGACAAGTACACCTCAAGTTTTAGCTATGATGTCCCAAGTCTTGAACTAACACACCCCAAGTCAAGTCCAAGTTGTTTCTTGAGTGCTTAATGAGTTGACATGCAACCCTCACCAATGCCATTTCATTTTTTTTTAAACGGGAGTAACAGTTAGTAATATCCAGATATATCTGATGGACGTCAGCAAGATATCAGAGCCGAATGACTGCACTTTTTTTTTTTTTTTTTTTTTGGCATCATAATTTTTAATCTTTGAACTTTCAGTCTCCTGAAATAGTGCCCCTATAGCACCAGGTGTCATGGTTACAATAATAACCATGAGGAGTGTAGTGACATCAGCGCACTGGACATTCGTCGCCATGGTTACAACAGGAAACAGTCATGGCTTGGTTAAGTTTTGCCACAAATACGACTTGGTTAGGGTTAGGAAAAGATCGTGGTTTGGGTTAAAATAAGTACTTCCTTAAGGTTTGACGATCTTTGTTGTCATGGTTACAATAATACAAACATTGTTAAGGTTGTCAAACAGTCATGGATAAAACCAAATGAAACACAAAATGCTAGTTTCACACTGGGAATTGAACACTGGTCTCCTGTGTGATATTCCTGTCTTTTGTTGACCCATCCATCCACCCCAACCTTCTCCTAATGCAGACTTTGTCACTATATATACTACGTCAACAAAAGGTAACTATCTACTACTAGTCTTGTCTCAAGTCCACAACTCTGCCTTGAACAAAGTCAGAGTGTATCCTGCATAAACACATTCATCCTGAAAAGTTCTGTATTCTCAGCAAGTTAACTTTGGGTCCTTCTCAGCTGGTTGTTGCCTCATATTGAGTTGGGATCGAGGATGGGCCGACCTTCCATGCAAAATAAATCCTGCCCTGCTTTCATTAGGACACTTTTTTATAACACTGCAGCAGATGTTGAAACACACACACACACACACACACACACACAGTGACACTCACACTGTGCAGCCCCCTGAGGAGCAACCTTGCCTCCTCTCAACTTTTCTCAATTTTTCTTCCCCACTTTCACTCATCTATTGCTTCCTCCTTACACCCTAACAGCAGACTTCAAAGTGGCTGCTATTTAGAGGTTACTCTAACTAGAGGGGAGCTTTTCCCGCACAAAATTGGCTAAAAATACATTTCAGTTGCTTCATAAGCATTGTTGTCTTCCCTAGCTGGTAAATGGGTTGTGTTTGAAATGGAAGAGGACAACATGGCCAAGTTTCCTCTGTTTCAGTAATCTTTCATATTTTAGGCTGCAGAAAACATCCACCTTGAAAATGTGCCTCAAGTATGTATTCAGGACAGATCTGAAGTATCTGCTGAGAGCTGTTGCCATGCAATGAAATGAGGCGCAGGTTGGAAATTAAAGTAAACATCCCACGCAGGGTGCTATATGTGCCTGTATTTCAGAAAACCATTTATAGGGGTCTCTGAAGTGTTTTTACAGCTAGCTCAAATACTCTTTGTGGTCCGGCTACAATGTTTGACATGTGTAACAAAGGAAATATATACAGCTCAAAGGTATTTTCCTGGGGGACTTATACATCATTCACAGCACGTATTTTACATCACTTACATCGCCTCCACTGTTTTTGTCACAGCATATTTAACACACAGTCTGTTATACATGATCTAACTCTGGTTGATCGTCCAATTAGAGATTTTTTTTTCCCTCTTTTCCTACATGTGACAGCGTAGTGAAACATGATCTGGCTCCGGTTTTCTGTCTCTTGAGTGTGTGTGAGGCAGCTCTGTGTCTGCTGGTGATAATCATCAGGTTTGAGGTCAACAGACGCAGGACAGACCATGGCCAAAGGCTGACAGATTACACCACACTGATTTACTGCACACACACACACACACACTGCTGCCACAGCCATCACACAACACACATAAAATGTACTCCTCCTTACACACTCCTACATTTTAGCTGTGAATTATGTGCATTTATATTTTCATGGACAAAGCTGCACACACTAATTTATGTGTATGGCCTCACAAGCACATTAGCATGCATGCGTTAAGTGTCAGTGCCAGTTTCCTCCTGTCAAACAGTAGCAGGGCAGACAGGAAGCAGGTTGGTTTGGAGAGCATACAGGGGTAAATACCATCACCTTTTATAGACATACCCAATGGCACAGCTGCACATGCACATACACAAGGACACGCATATATTCCTAAATCCATAGTTCAAACAGGGGACAGATGGCCTGGAGATTGCATCATAACCCAATAATGAATGGCATTTTTTGGCAACTATACACCACTGCTCCGTGTACGTTCAGCTCACTCCCAAAATGCACTTCTTGTGCAATATTCATGACTCCGAGAGCAAACATACATGACTCCATCATTAAGGGACAACATGCAACATGACAGGTGCTGCTCTCATGTGACAGCCACAAGCATATGCTCATATTAAAAAAAAAGGCACATGCACGCGCACACACACACACACACACACACACACACACACACACACACACACACACACACAGACCCTTAGGTATTTGATAAATCTAAAAGAAAACAAACAAGCAAACACGTTCTTACCTTTGTGGTAGTTCACCTGCTTCGTTTGCATGGAAAAGGTTCCCATCACAAGACCCATGTTGACTTCTGGCCACAGACAGATTGTGTGAGCTTGCGAGTGTGTGTGTGTGTCTGCCCGCCTATAATCAAAGTGTGCTAGTGAGTGTGCATACAGCAGGTATGTGTATGTTGTAAATAAGTTACTCCATCAGACAGATGTGTGGGTGGAAGTACAGATATCACTTCTCATGCTGCCTCACACCCTCACAGCTCTGCTGCCTCTGCTCGAGGGTCTGTGTGTGAGAGTGTGTGTCTCTGTCTGTGTGAGTGAGTGAGAGAGAAAGAGAGAGAGAGGATGTGTGTGTGAGAGAGTGAGTGTGAATGAAAAAGAGGGCGCACATGCACTCTGAAGCTACCTTTGTCTACGCTGTCACTGAAGCTGCCTATTTTACATCCCCTCTGTCTCTCTCTCTACTTCGCACACGCTCCCTCCTCCTCTCCGTCTTTCCTCTCTCTCAGTATGTCCCCTGCCACCACACTGTCATTCCATCAATTCCTCGGTGCCTCTTTATGTATCTGCCTCTCTCTGTCTCTGCTTCTCTCGGCTCCCTCTTTCCCTCCTATTCGTCTCTGTCGCTCTGTCTCTTTGTCTGTCTCGTGGGGAAATAGGGATTGCACACTGTTGCGCAGGAAAAGACAGAGACAGAGAGAGAGAGAGGGAGACGGAGCAGTTGTGTGTATGTGGAGAGGACGACGTAACTCAGGGGAGAGCGATAAGAGAGGAGGAAAAAGGAATGAGAGAATGATGAAAAGGAAAAGGAGAAAAAGAGGTGAGGGGGAGGAGAAGAGGGAAGAGGAGACAGAGACAAATTAGGAAAATTCACAAACACCAGGGGAGGCAAAGTGATGGTGAGAGAGGAAGGGAGTGAACGAGAGAGAAAGAGCGAGATGAAGAGTGCAAGAGGTGAGGGGAGATAAGGGACGACTAGACTGATCGGTCCCCCTTTGCTATTCGGCAGGCAAACAGTCTCACTGTGGAGAGTGTATTTGCTGCTTTATCTCTACATGCACTGGTCTGACAGGTGGTGTGTGTGTGTGTGTGTGTGTGTGTGTGTGTGTGTGTGTGTGTGTGTGTGTGTGTGTGTGTGTATGTGTATGTGTGTGTGTGCGCGTGTGTGTATGTGCGTGTGTGTAATTATTCTGCTAGCAGGTGGGTCACGGACAAAGCCCCGTACATCTGACACCACTACATTTGCAGAGGCGGCGCCTCGCATATGTCAGCGCCGGAATCAACACGCGGCTTTTTGCTCTTGAGTCTGCTGATGAATCCATCAACTACACACAGATACACAATCAGGCCACACACCCACTACAACAATACAACCTGGGGCGAATGACGACAGTCCAGAACACGGTCCACCTCACACATGTACTCCTGTGTCAATCACGCTTAACCCCTCGCTGCCCTCCGTGTAACACCCTGCTGTTGAGATTGGGAGGATGCTCCGACACTATTGACTACAGCCCTTATTGAAATTCTTCACGTGGCTTTAGTTAAGAAAACAATTTACAGCCGAGCCATCGCTGTGGCTGAGCTGAGGCCATCAAGGCCAATGATAAAGCCATTAGGCCATGGCATTCATTAAAAGCTACTGGCTGCAGTAGCCTGCACGCTGAGAATCAATGCAGAGTAAAAACAAGTGAGAGGAGGGAAGGAGGAGGTGTGAGAGTCTGAGGTGTAGAGAGAAGAAGAGAAAGAAAATGGAGAAGAAAAGAGAAGCAGAGACAGGGAGATAGACAAAGAAAGTGAGAAAAAGGAGCACTGCAGGGCAGGAGTGTGTGTGTGTGTGTGTGTGCGTGTGTGTGTAATGGTGAGAGACATTTTTTGAATATGCAAGAGCTCACTCCAACACACACACACACACACACACACACACACACACACACACACACTCTTCCTCTTTCTCGTAGCTCTGCAGAAAGAGACAGATCTGACACCAGTTTCTAATCAAAATCATATACTAACAAATGCAACCACACACAACTACACGCATACATGCACACATACAAACATGCACAAACACCCACTGGTTACCGCAAGTGAGAGTGGCAATATATCAACAGAGAGAAACAGGTCTTTAAATTCACACCACAGCAGCGGCACACACATGCTGATTAAATTCTGAAAGCTCGGCTGAATAGACGAGATAAGGGAGCGTGATTTGGTGTAGTGATGATGTTTAACTTCAGTGGAGGGGTTACATACACGTCTAACAGTGGAGAGAGAGCCGTTGGTTGATCAGACGCTTTGAAAATCCACTGGATAAACGAAAAAGCCACAGTGGAAAAGCTGAAAACCAGGCTGTTTGATCATTCTCTGCAAAGCTGACATTTTGTAAATACCAAGACTTCAAACAGCACCGAATGGATTGATTTGAGGAAAACAGAAAGCAACGAGGAAACAAATAGAATACAATAGAAAATAGAGCAATAGTAGCAGTTAAAAGTTCATTCATGTCTTTGAAAGACGTAGTTGACAAACCAATCGTACAACAATCTGCTAAGGACGGCCTTGTAATATGATTGAAAGCTCCAGCCGCTGAGCTCAAGAATTAATCTCAATCTCAACGTGGACAAAAAAAGTCTTTAAAGTGTTCAGAAAAATGGAAGTGAACATTTGAAGTTTTCATGACAACTGGGCAGACGCCAGCTGCTGAGTCATCACGAGACTGTGATGCAATCAAAATCTCCACATTTAAATGAACCTAGTGGTTTGTCAGTTAGAATTTAATAAAAACAACTTACTTGTCGCCCAATATCCCCAAGACTGTCGTCAATCAAATGTTGGACCCTAACCCTGAGAGTCAATGCTAGTTTCTTTTAACCATTTCCACAGTCATTCTACACTTAAGTTAATGATTGGTGTATTAGTGTAACCATGAAAAATGAAGATAACAAAGGTCCCCTAATCTTATCAGTCATGTTTACCCAAACCACAATGCTCTCATAACCCTAGCAAAGTAGCGTTTGTGCTTAAAACTAACCAAAGCTCAAACATAGCAGCATCAGATTAGAAAACACTTGTGCTGTACCAGAAGTCTTGGACAAATGACATATTTTGTGATTTAAACTGGAGAACTTGTTGGTATCCACAGATCCCAGAAGACAATCAAAGAGCACAAAGTTCCTGCAGTGCTGAATAAACTCTGGTGTTTCACAGAAAGATATCATCATTATTTGGGATCCGTATATGTGGAATTTACAATGAGCTCCTGAGGTCCATTCGTTTCTTTGGTTTGGCTAAAAACTGGTGAGAACTGCAAAAGCTTTACTGTTTAAGTTTGGAAATTGATTCTTAAACTTGAGCTGTGATAAAATATGAACGAATCCAATGACTTTTTCAGCAAATGGAAATTGCTCAGGTGTCATCACATGACCGACAGTAAGAATGCAACTTTGGTCACCTGATAACAAGTGGGATCCGCTTGTACACTGCAAAGATAGGCCCCTCCCGAAGAGAGAAAGACTGGGGTGTACTGGTTGTGGAGAGCACAACATCTGTAAGAATGGAAAACACCCTGCGTAAGACAGTGAGGGAGCCTCAGAAACAGACGACATCAGCTGTCTGTGAACATCAGACCAAAACAGGTCGCAACATCGATTGGGAAGGGGTCACAGTCTTCAACCAGGAGTTATAGATGGGCGAAGATCAAGGAAGACATTTACATTTAAAGCGAGTTCAGAGACAAAGTTCAGAGACAAAGTTCAGAGACTGCTTTTTTAGTTAGTTCAATTTGTTGTTCTGAGTTCTTTACTGATTCCTCATATATGCTGAATTGTCAGTTTAGCATTTAGAATTAATTGGAAGTGTCTTAACTAATCTCTCTCTCTCTTCACCTCTAATATCATATTTCATGGTTCTTTCCAGGAAACATTTTAGTAAATTATTCAAAATTTACGCATTCAGAAAATTAAATGTTACAGATTGAAGTGAGTGAGTAAACCTTGAGTTTAGGATATTTTACCACATATATCCAGATCTGCTGTAAATCACCACTATTATTTAATCCTTTTCAGTTGTTAAAACAAGGAAACAAACATAGCTTTGCAGACGCGCAGTTGCAGAGCAATAACACTAACGGCAACAGGTTCATCACATTAGGCCGACTGCCAAACTCTGCCAAGACATTACGCCTGACATCATCTGCGCTGCTACTCAGTCCTGTCCGGACCGCTGTGGATCATTCCGAGTGCCAGCCTACCTCTTTCTCATCATTTATTAACCATTACACAACAGACCTTTTACTAGATTGAGATGGCTGCCTCGATGAATGGATGCAGGGTAGAGAAAGGAAAATATGGGGATCAGACTGTGGGGTTGAAAGGTAGAAAGCATTTGACAGCCGAGAAAGAAGGTGTTGACAAGAAGCAGAAATGTGGCGAGCAGGCAGTGAATAATAAATTGGCTGGTTAGTGGCTGCCTGGTCTTATCAGACGAAGGCTGGATGGAATCTGTCATAGTGATGACCACACAGAGGAGAGGAGAGGAGGGCAATGAGAGCAGAGAATTGGGAGGGAAGGGGTGCGAGTGAAAGTGACATGAGACGGGGGGGGCAATAACTGTAGGAAAGGAGGAGAAGAGAGCAAGACAAATATGAGTGGAGAATTTGGAGTGCATGATAGATGGGAGGAGGTTAGGGAGGGATAGAGAGAAGGTGGGGAGAGGCGAATGAGAGCAGAGAATTGGGAGGGCAGAAAAGATGGAGGGAGATAGGTGAGGAGGGAGAGAAGGAGGGAGGGGGTAGATGGAACGAGGGAGCAAGGGAGTAGAGAATGACAGAAACAGGATGGTGGGACAAAACAGAGGGAGGGAGTGGAAACAAAAGAGGAGTAGTCAGAGCAGTGAGATGAAGAACAAGGAGTGAAAACTGCACCTGGCCACTAACTGGCTCAAACGGGCTTAGTGTCGTCTGAGTCATCAGAAACAAACGGATTGATTTACTGCAGTGAGGAGTGGAGAGGACGGGCTCAACGATCCTGATAGTAATGGGAATGAGGTGTAACACTGCTGAGATCAGACAATTCCTGCTGTTAAGAGTCAATCACATGTCGTTTTTTCCTCTAACAAAGCCAAACGTGTCACTTGCTCCTACACAGACTACAAACCACAGACTACAAGCTGTGCAACAAGGCCTGACTGCAATCAGTGTGCAGTGAGTGAGTAAACACTGCCACAATCATTTTGCCCATAGAATGGGTTGCTGATACATATTGTCATCATTTAAAAAGGACCATTTCACCCAAATTACAAAAACAACGTATTATCTATACTAGTATTTGGCAATTGCAGACAGGTATTGAAAAGTATCTGTTTTGATTTGTTTTTTTCTGCTTTGGGATGAAGCTGAATCCATTTTTTTCTTGACATGCCCAAAACACTGAAAATTACATTAAAAAAGTAAGCTACAGTAGGAGCAATGTCCCTGTTCCTCCAAACCAAAAGACCTCACTGTCAACAGTTTCCATTGGGACAATTAGTTTAATCAATAAATCAATAGTCTGAAAGTTAATCAGCAACAATTATGATAATCAATTACATT